AAAAATTTGATTAAATTCTCATTATGTAAAATATAATCTAAGTAGAGTTCAAACATTACTTGAAATAAAGAATAATCACTAGAAACACTACAAAAACATGTATACACGTACACAGACAATAAGACACCTTTTTTTTTTGTGGTACTGAGGATTGAACTCAGGATCTTGCACTTCCAGGCAAGTGCTTATTCTACTGAGCTCTCTCCCTGGCCCAAAAGCTCATTTCTGAAAAGAAAATAGATGGATACTTTCAAGATGGAAGTTGAAATTTTTAATGTTATACTGGTCTTATTGTTTGTGTAAAAACACGAACATTTGATCTCTACCAAAGCAAACATGCTTCTGAAAGAAAAGAACATATGCATACTTTCTAAAATGCACACAAAAGGTAGAGGAGGCAAGACAGAAATGTTTCACCGAGTCATACATGTGTTGAAGACATGTTGTTATCAATAGGACTTTTGTAGGACAACAGCATGAGTCCCCAGAAAAATCACACATCATAAAGGTAGCTTTCTGCACAAATGCACTAAGTCTATACATTGTGCCTACCATCTTGGTCAGGAACTGAGAACCACACCTCTTGCCCCCCCCCCTCTCTCTGTCTGTCTCTCTCTCTCTCTCCCTCTCTCTCTCTCTCTCTTTGCTTTGTCACAAAATAAACAGCTTAATGAATGAGAAAAAGCAGCTGCTAAAATTATTGAGAGCAGTCAGTTTTCAAATGGATTCACATTTTTGCCTCTCATTCTTGAACTTAAACAATGTCTTAAAGTGTGGCCCAATTCTATGCATTAGATGAATGAAAATATAAAACATACATTCTTCATCTCTTATAGTTATCTATATATTTGAATCAACCACAGTTTGTTTGTTGATGGTCGTTGGAGTTATTCTTAACTCTTGGGTATTATCAGTTGTGAAATTTAGATCTTTTATAAAGCTGTTGCGAAAATATATGAAAACACACTCATTTGGTTATATTTAAGCAAAAGATAGAAGATGGAACACAAGAATCAACTCCAAATGAGTTGAGCAGGAGAAAGATGAGATAGATTAGCACAGATATTAATAAACATAGATTATGTGTGCCAGTGATTAGACATTATGCAATATTTAACTCCATTCTTAGAGATCTACCCACTATGTCGCGATGAGTATTGATTGTCTTTCAGGACAGAGATACTTGTCTCTAAAGATTACTTGCAGTGAACACTGAAGTCCTCTATCAGTCAAGATCCTTTGAATGTTGCAACAGAAGGTCTCCACCCATATAAACAGAGTCACCCTTCAAAAGAGAGAAATATCGGAGCTTTGTGAAAGTTTCCAACTGGCCATGTACACAGTTTCATTGGGAGGATTCTCTATGGATTTGGTTATCTTAACTTGGTGAACTCTCACTTCTCAGAAGACTCTACTTAAATGTCATGAGAAGGATTATCCTTTCCTTTAAATAAGAACCTAATGACACACTCTCGTATCTGCTTTGTTTTCACCCCGTACACAATAGGGTTCATTGTGGGAGGCATGAGTAAGTAGAGATTAGCCATAATGATGTGTATATGGGAAGGAATAGTGTGTCCCCCAAAGCGGTGTGTGAAGAAGGTAAAGAAGGCTGGCACGTAGGTGATGACAATGGCACAGATGTGAGCAGTGCAAGTGCTGAAGGCCTTCTGCCGGGCATCTGCTGATGATAAATTCACAACTGCCCGAAGAATCATAGTGTAGGAGATGGTGATGCACAGGATGTCAAAGCCCCCGATCAGGAGGGCAACCATCAGCCCATAGATGGCATTGACCTGAACATTCCCACAGGATATCTTGGCCACAGACATGTGGTCACAGTACGTGTGGGGGATGATGTTGCCCCTGCAATATGTTAGACGCTTGGTGAGCAAAGTGAAAGGGATGACAAGAAGCACACCCCTGAGAAAAGTGAGGAGCCCAGCCTTAGCAATGACCACGTTAGTGAGGATGGTGGCATAGCGCAGGGGATAGCAGATCGCCACGTAGCGGTCCAGGGCCATGAGCATGAGCACACCAGACTCCATCCCTGTGAAGGTGTGCACAAAGAACATCTGCGCCAGGCAGGCTTTAAAATCAATGACCTTGAGGTTGAACCAGAGTATGCAGAGAGTGTTGGGAAGAGTGCTGGTGCACATGAGCACATCCGTGATGGAAAGAAGGGCCAGGAAGATGAACATGGGTCTGTGGAAGGACTGCTCTGTGTAGATGAGGTACACAAGCCCAAAGTTCCCTGTGAGGGCAATGCTGTACATGGTGCAGAACGGGAGTGAGATCCATAGATGCACATCCTCCAGACCAGGAATGCCATTGAGGATGAAGGACACTGGAGTGAGGCCCATCCCATTTAGAAGTGACATAATGGCCACAGGAAAGGCATAATAGCAGTGCTGCTGAACTATTTCTGTAAGGAGAAAAAAAGCCCAGAATATTACTAACAATGCTATGCATATCCTTTGTGCTCCTTTTTTTCTTCTTTACACTTCCATATTTTTTGATTGTAAAGAGTAAAAACAACGACAAATGTAAAAACAAATAACAAAATCAAAGATACAAATAAATGGATGAAACTTTTCCCCAGGCTTGTTAACTTGGTTTCATTATAGATCAAGGACCATATGTGTCTTCCGAGACTTAATACATGATATATTCTCTATTAGCCCACACCCTTAGTGTGACATATTGACACAACACATGGGCTGAATTTGGTCAGCTGTCTGGACCTGAATATGTCTAGTTTCTTTTTCTTTTATTATCAAAAACTTCAGTCCCCGGGCTGTAGGTGGCCTCTCACTGAACAACAGGAAGATCAAAGACTGATTAAATGTAGGCTGTGTTCCAAGTGCTCCTGTTAGGAATTCCTAGGCTGTTCTGAAATATCAACAAACTTCACGGGGTTGACCTTTGAAAATTAATTAACTAATAAACATATTAGCACAGCTGCAATATACCACCCCATTTTACAAGTTTTAAAGAAACTTAAATGAAGAAAAATATAAATCATCCCCTTGTACCAATAGCTTCCTTTAATCAAAGTCAGTGTATGGTCTGAAAAAAAAATCCCTTCTTAATCTCATTAAAGAATAATTACCTAAGTAGTACTGAAGTAAATAAATGATAATTATTGCAGTAATACATGAGGGGACAATGTTTTTCTGAGATTAGTGTCTAGTCTAATGGGCTTTGGAGTCCAGTTCAATAAGCAAAAAGATGCTTAGCAGCATTAGCGAAGCCAATGGACATTTCCTTTAGAACATAGTTCTTTTTTTTCTTTCCATAGCACAATTTCAGAGAACCATAGAAGAAAGTTTTTCTCAAGCCATGTAATTTCTAAAGCTAAGTTTTTCTGGAATAAAGATATTAATATATCTTTTAAAAATCTATTGACTATGAGGTGGTAAGGAGATGAAGGACTTTCATGAATAGTAGAATACTTGATGTGACAGTAGGTAGTGGCAAAAGAAAAAAGCTGTAAATGTATGATGGATGCACAGACATTGCACAAATCTTGAGAAGCGGGACACACTGAGCTAGCAGATTAAAAGTAGCAAAGATGAGCAAAAATTAGTTTGAAGATGAGGGTAGTCCTTAAAAGAGGATAATGGAGGAAAATCAAATAGGCTGATTTTAAAAAATGTTGAAATTTATGTCACATGTTGAACTTTACGTAAGAGATCCACTAACCAGAATTTCTATTGAAAATTTAAGATAGTAGTATGAAATTGTCTTTCTTTCTTTCTTTCTTTCTTTCTTTCTTTCTTTCTTTCTTTCTTTCTTTCTTTCTTTCTTTCTTTCTTCTCTTTCTTTCTTTTGGCAGAACCAGGGATTGAACTCAGGCCCTTGAGCTTTCCAGACAAGTGCTTATTCTACTGAGCTATCTCCCCAGCCCTGCCTTTTCTTTCTTAATATGTGTTTTTTAACGTAATTTATATCTTGATTTTTTCAAAAGATAAAGGCTAAACACATTACTTATAGGTTCATTTTAATTGAGAAATCATTAAAATATTGCTCTCCTAATAAGGAATGGAGCCAGTTCCTTATTCCTCCAAAGTAAGAGAAGACAAAAACCAGAAAATTATGGATTAATACTGTCATCACTCTCCTATTATTTAGGACAGGATAAGTTCTTTTTTCTCAAAAGTATTGTTACAAGGCACATCCAGCAAGACTAACTTTTTTAAAAGACTCCCTATAATTGTTATATTTCAGTAGTTAAAATGTGAGTATTGTATCCAAAGTGAAAATAGAACATACATACCAGGATACAGAAGCAGCCTTCATGCCCTATTAAGTTAGGAGATTACTTTATATTACGACTCCTTATTCACCTCTCATTGATTTAATGTACCAATTCCTTTAATAAGAAGAATGCAACCCCAGTTCAAGAATCTGCTTACCCTGAAAGCTACTGGAGTTCCTCAAGAAACTGAATGTATCCAAAGATTAAGTTACATTCATGTCTGTCTGAAGATCTTAACCCTGCAGGAGAAATAGAAGACTATGGAGGGAAAAACAAAAGAAGCATTCTATG